GCCTTGCTGCAAAGTGTCGGGTGACGAGTGGCCGATGCAGATTTTAAATCACACTTCACAAAACGAGGAATTGGTACCACTGCTGAAAATGATATGATTCAATGACTGATGAAATTGTTTAACGCATATCGTCAGACGACATATGCGCGAACCGTCAAGCTTCAACGCACTTCGAACGTTATACTGGATTGCGCATATTAGCACATACGGTTGTACAAATTAGTTTTACAAGTAAGAAACCCACTACCGTTTGGAAACGTGGAGTACTCGAACAGCGGACACAGATAGAGAGTTCAATGCAGCCGCCATAGTGTACGATGAGGTCGAAAGAGAAAAAAACGTTTGTCAGCTGAGACCACAAACAAAAATTGTACAATCCACCGGCATGCTTACTTGTCTACGGTTTGCAGAAGATCAGGGGCTACACGAGACCCCCATCGACCATGTTAATACGTGGTCAAATTTGACTTAAAAAATGATACATGGTCGATGAGGTCTCGTGTAGCCCCTGCAGAAGACTCTTACGTACAGATAGTTTAGCAAGGCATCAGACTGATCAGAGTGAACAAGACATTATTGTCCATAGCGTATTCGTACAGAGCAGCCGACAACCCGTACGACACGGTTGACAGAAAAAAGCAGCTTTTGCTGCGGCGGATGTCACAACAAGACTTTGACAGCCTCCAACGTGTTCAACTGGTCTACGGTTTCATAAGCCGTATCGTTTAGCCGTGCTCGTTAGATACACCGCCAATCTGCATCGTATGCCAGGCATTTTTTTATTTCTTTCTTATCCAAGAGGTTCTTTCGGTCTTTGTTTAAGAGTTTTAATTGTGGCGGACAAACGGTTGCCTACAAATCCCTATGGATTCACCGTCGCCCGAACCGAAGAAAGTGAATGTTACGTCAGAGGAAGTACAAAGAAATACAATTCGGGATAAATGGATGAACATTATTGGACAATCACTTGGCCGGTTAACAAAAATCGGAGCAACGACGGCTAACTGGTGCGGTACAGCACGCACTAACCTTATGTTCTCCGTGACAGATTTATTACGGAGGCTGTTCCGAGGCCCGGTCAAGTTCCACTGGGTTCACATTTTCGTTAGACTGCTTTTCTACGCGTGCTTCGCAGGATATGTGTACCTGGCAGTCTATCTTTTCACTCAGCCAAAGCCCGACTATTCAGGAGCAGGATTCGTATTTATCCTATTGTTGTGCACTGCTTACGGTTGTTTTATTGTTTTCTGTTTGAACAATCCTAAAGTCGACATCTGCCTCTTAAAGGGTTCTGCAGTTATTTCACCATCGGACCTATGCGAGAGGATCCGGATGGCTCGGTCAGGTATGCATGTAATTGTGAGTCGAATTTGAGGGTCACGCTCGTTGTCTCCATAATAAATGCTGCAGCTGTACGATTAGTACAAAGAAGAGAAGAGCACTGGAGGGTTTTAAAAAGGTAGTAAATATGGAAACCGAGTCCAATGGGCTGGAAAGTCGAGTTTCGGTTAAAGCGAATTGCGCGGTTTAATCAAAATAAAGGGATTTTAACAGTAGTCACTTCTAGTTTCTGTTCTGATATGATTGAAATGTTACACACAATCACTAAACTACAGCACCTCAATGTTACTTGAAAGATTTCGAGCAACGAGCGGTATTAAGTATTTATATATTCAGGCGTACCCGTACATCCAAGGGCGAGCTCGCCCTGGTTGTGGGTAAAAATATTTCAATCTGGTACAGCTGTGGCCGTCCTTGGTGATATATAGCCGGGAACTTTCGGCATCCTGATGTTAGCCGAGCACTTTCGGCATACGATGACGTGTGGGAGTAGGATCACGCCTGGATGTACGTACTGATGGATCCTGACTGTCCGCCTTCCACCTGCAGCACACAAGGATATATCTAGTCAATCTATGATGTGATTTGCTGTTATCTTTACTAGCGGTTTACGTGATGTCGTCTAGCTGAAGTCTATATAAGTCCATGTTCTTCACTAATATCGGCATGCAGTCTTACGATCACTTTTCTTGAGACTGTTTTCAAATTACAATTTCCTTGAGTTGTGGACTGTGTTGAAAATTGGATAAAGAGGCAGAAATACTTGTTCGTACGGAAGTACATAGTCGTTCCCGGATTATTGCTTAGTATACAGGTTTGCTCGCGGTCACAATCGACCTAGCTCTTTGCCGATCCTCACAGAACCTGCGACCGGAGATTGTGGGTAGTGTTCCTGAGGGATTTCGAGTTGCTAACCTTCACCTAGTTCCATCATAATTCTTCCTGTTACAGTTGAGACAGATTCTGCCTACCGTACTGAGCATTACAGGCGTGGAAGAGTAAAGATTGTTCTAGAGCCCTAACCAGCGTGAACGCTTATACACGACAACGACATGCTTTTACTGGGATATGAATGTTTAAATCAGACTTTTTGTGCAAAATCAGTTTAAAGCTTGAAACGAATACGACGAGCCGAATTTATAGCAGACGTTTCGCCGGCACTGGGACGCCTAGGGCACCATAAGGTCCCTCTTGGTAGAGGCGTATCACTTCCGGACGCTTTAAACTGTTACATATAGCCAAATAACGACCCAATACAATTTCGATTGAAATCGAAATTTCAGGTTGAAAGTTCACACAACACTTAACGCTCATTTGCTGCGGTAATTTTCGCTGGTCCTAGGAAATTTTTGTCGCTTGAACGACGAATCTGTCCGCTTGACTTCTGCGACATGCGGACAACCGCTGAAGTTGATTGTTCAAATATATAACGAGGGACGTTTCACTGTATTACTACTTAATATAAGACAAATAAATGTATGACCGGTTTCAGGCAAGCCATGGCTGGGATGGAAGATGGAATGCTACCACCTCGATACGGAATATGATGGCGATGGCGGGAGTGCCGAAGTCAAAAGAACTACCTGGAACGGTATGGAAGAATTTAAATGCTTTGACATCCAGGACATTTCTGACACGCCAGCCTTTGCTGTGACCGACACACTGGAAACAACCATGCTGAGGATACATTTCTCAAAAGAATATCTCTTTGCCGATGACAGCACTGCTGAAGAATTCAAACGGATGTCGACCAATTTCCAAATGGCAAATGCATCACGCGACATGAAGTACAACATGGAAACAATCCTCACCATTCCCGGACTTCAAGAAACTCTGACCGTTTCCTTGCAGCGCAGGCGGTCTCTATCGTTACTGGTGGTATCTTGCGGCGGTGTTCTTTTTGCTCGATGAGCCCTATCTGTGTTTCCTCAATGTTTCCGTAACGGAGATTAAGGAGTCCCACTACCGCTACGTCAAACAATTCGGGGGACCTCTGAATGTGCTCACTTGTGAATCGGGTTTGTCTGGTCGAAATTAGTTCTGCATGATGCAATACTAAGAATTTACAGTTTTCAATATGTCCCCGTCGATATTGATGGAAGAAAGCTACCTGGTGCCTAAATCCATGCATTTCCAGAGCAATATATTTTTGTATCGCTCGGCATGGCATGCTGGTGGTCGTATTAAGTACTACATGTACCCAGTACTACTGGTGTTGTTTACGCAGCCGGCAGCAACTACTGCGTAAAACAACAACTACTTACTGTACTGGACATTAGTACTGTCAACGAGCGCAAACGTTTTGGCCTTCTTGATCCCGGCCGGATACACGACCACGCCGATCCAAAAGTCGATCCAACAAGGAGCATCCTACGCCGATCCAAAAGTCAACGATCTGCAGTTCGTTACGGACCTTGTCGCCCACATCGAAGTGAACGACTGCATCGATCCCAATCGGGTCTACGCGTCGGGCAAGAGCAACGGTGGCGGGTTCATCGACACCCTTGCCTGCTCCGATCATGGCGACAGGTTTGCGGCGTTCGCCATGGCAGCGGTGGCGCTCTGCACCGACAACAAGTTGAGCGGGTGCCCGAAGAAACGGGTGATCCTGGAAGCCCATTGCGAAGCGGATGCCATGATCAAGTACAACGGGGATCCAGCGGCGAACGGCGGTCCGGTGCCGGATATTGCCAAGTGGGTGCAGTGGTGGGCGGAGCGGGATGGGTGCAACCCGAAGAATGCGGCGAAATCGAAGGGCCTGAGCGGATTCGATGTGACCAAGTATTCCTGTAAAGAGTTCACAGATGTCGTGCAGCATTACAAAGTAGATCAGCTCGGGCATTGTTGGCCGAGGATGGGAAGAACACGGACAGCAAAAAGAAGGTGTGCAAGGACCGTTCGTTGGACTTTACAGCGGTTGTCGTGGATTTTTTCGAGAAATGGAGTTTGAGTAATGCCCCGAGAACTTGATTGGAGTTTTTATGAAAATTACTTTTGTAATAGCTTTTGTTTCATTTCTGTAAATAGATATGCACCGTCTTTAATATTGGACTGGGATATAAAGTACCCGTTCTGATAGCGCAACGTTTTTATATTATGATAGCTGTACAAATGCAGCCAAAAGCGGTCAGACAGAACTCCCGGAATCGATCTACTTGAAGTCGCAGCGCGCATGGGATGTACCGCTCTGCAACATGTCGCTGTCGACACTGCTGGAAGTCTTCCGGGACGATGAAACCAACCGAGCCGGCCTCCTTGCCCAGTCGAAACCTGAAGCAGGTATCTGGCTAAATGCTTTGCCGTTGGCGCATATCGGAAATCTCTTAGATGACGACACCCTCAAGATATCAGTCGGACTCAGGCTGGGCGCAGTCATATGTGAAGCCAAATGCCGCAAGCCTGTAGATGTATGCGGCCACCATGGACTGTCATGCTCGTTTTCGGCCGGGAGACATGCACGACACGGTGCTTTGAACAGCATTGTGTGCCGATCATTGGTTTCGGCTGGCATTCCAGCAAAACTCGAACCTCGTGGCACATCCCATACGTCCGAACGTCGCCCAGACGGATGCACGACCTTTGCCTGGAAACGTGGTATGTGTCTGGCATGGGATGTCACCTGCGTTGACACTGTCGCCTCATCCCATATCAAGTCCACTTCCTCGGGTGCCGGATCCGCCGCGGCCCAAGCCGAAGACTAGAAAGCCAGACTCTATGCGTACCTTGTAGGCAGATACATTTTTGCAGCACTAGCCTTTGAAACCTTCGGGCCCTGGGGAAAAAGGAAATCGGCAAAGCTTTAATAAAGGAAATCGGCAAGCGGCTACAGCAACACACCGGGGAACCTCGCTCACACGAATTTTTACGTCAGCGTCTGTCATCGAAATACAACGAGGCAACGCGGCTTCCGTGCTGGGGACGATGGTAGGAGCCGATAAATTAGAAGACATTTTGTTATTATAATTCTCTATTTGTTGCCAATTCATGTATTCTAACCGGCTTGTGCTGATAAAGATTGGAATGCAGCGGTGATTTACATGAAAGTTTGGCCTGCCGCTTCGAAGCAAAATTCTTAAGTTGGAGTAAAATCAGAATTCATATTTTGTTGATTCGAATTCTCGTTTGCCAGATCTTTGAGGCGCTTGCTAATCTATGAATGGCTTGTTCCCCCCAATGTGATGCCAAGATCTTCTAAAAGTGCCTGGGCTTATATCGGTTTTCTTAACTCTTAACTCATGTGATTTTCCCAGACACTTTTTGCTGGTTTTCGCAACCTTTCCGCTCACTTTCCTTTAAGCATAAAATATGTTTAGATTAAGAATTTCATCCTCTTGCAAAATAAACTGTTGAACAAAAGGTCCTACTCAAACTGCTTTTCTGGAAAGATAGGAACTGCTTGGGACTGGGTTTGAAAATCAAAAAGGGTCGCAGTATCTAGACGGTAAAAAGCAGCAAATTTCATGAAAAAAATTTGCTGTTGTCGGTGCAGTGCAAACTTTCTTGGTATTTAAAGCGCGAACGACTGGCCATAAAATGTGTTTTTTATCCGTGGGAAGCATCACGAATTTATAGAAGCGAAACGCCTGGAAAAGGGAAATTTTGGTGTGTTCACTGTCTTGTGAAAGAAAAATGTAAAAATGTTCACTTTTGCCCCTGAGCTTTTCAAAACGTCTTGCGATCACAGTAATATCAAGTGTAAATTTGCAGTTGACACTTTAAATTTTCTGTTGAGAACGCTGCCAAGTCGGAAGTGGCAATAAAAAGAATGATTTTCAAAAAATGTGCTGAAAAAAGTACCAGTACTAATTAATTTGAATACGAGGACGAGCGTTTTCTCGTGGCTTTCATCCGTCGTAAATTTCCATGTTTGCTGTCGTCTCAGCAAAGTTATGTATTGAATGATAAACACTGTACGAGTACTAAATGTATGCCCTCAGGCCCCTCACCGGGTAACTGAGCAACATTTGCCCTGACCCACCCGCACCGGGCCGCGCGCACGGGTTGTTGGCTCCCTGGAGATCCAAAGCCGACGGTCCGTATGCGCTGGATATGCCTCCACCGTACTCCCTAAACCTGTGAAAATACAATACATAGTCGTATTACGTATAAACGTTGAAACTGGTATCCTGCTTATTGCTACAAAACCGTGGGTAAACGGCACGATTTCGGGCACAGACAGCACTGGTCGCAGACTCGCACTGTAAAATCGAAGCATTTGTACTGCACCCGACTCACAATCAGGTAATCGAATTACAACGAGACGCCAGTGGCAACACTCGCTCGGGTTAGTTTTTGCTTTGGATAATCAGTATCGATATTATAGCGTGAAGTGGCTGGCCTCGGAACATTCAACGATATCCGTGCGACAGACAATAATCAGGACACGTTTTTTTGGCGTTCATAATGCCTAACGGGGAATGATGTGTGCTAAATCTGTTTCTGTTGATTCTTTTGCTGTTCATACAATCATGTTGGAGTCAAAGATCAAGACTTATTCTAAGCAGAAAATACTTTTGAAATCGAGGTGTATCGTGTACGCAGTTATGGTGAATTGATAGGAAATCTACCTAGAATCAAATGTCTGGATATGAACTGAACACCTTGGGCAGAATATGCGGATATGAATTTATCACATAGGACAGAAATATCTGGGTATGATTTACCATCTATAACAAAATATCCGGGTGGGAATTACCACTTATGGAATTTCGAAAATGAATTTTTCACCTAAGGCAGAAACTGGGTATGAGTTTTTTGTCCAGACCAGAAGATCCGTGTATACTCTGACCGAATTGTCCAGGGTTACAACTTACAAAATGAATTCAGCAATTCCTTGATACCGAATCGCGTGAAGGTTGACGCAGTATTAAGGAAAATTTGCGCAGCAAATGCTCACAAACGCTTTTCTTCGCCTAACAAGTGAACTTATGAAATGTGCAAATGTGAAATAAAGGGCAGTATGTAACCACCTAGTGTTTTAATGTGCTAATGATACGAATGTGTTTTCATGTGCTCTAATGTGAACCACACCGTATGTACCGTACCTTTTATACACAGTAATATTGTGTGGTTTTTAATTGACACCTAATGGAAATTCTGATCATGATTTTGTGTCGGATTTTTCCAACTGGGTTCGTTTTTGCCCCTGGATGAAAAATTTCCCTCATCCAGTACCGAAGGGTGGCTGCGGGACCTAGTCTGGAGATCTTCTCCAGAGACTGTCGTGGCAGTTGTCTCGCAGTTATCGAGCCGCCACAGTTCCACACCGTGTAAGTACTCTTTTCTGATCTCCTGAATTCAGATCTCTTTCTCCGCCGAACGCTTTATTAAAGGGACGACAATGACGAACCCCCTTCAATGCCCAAAGTGCCTGAAAGTCCTTTCCAGTGAATTGTATCTGTCGAAACACCTTGAGACCCAAACGAAAGAATGCGCCAAAGCAGAACAACGTCAGCTGCGTTCTCGACCGCCCCCACCAAGCGCCTCGACTAATAATCAGCAGCGCACCGTGCCAACTGATCTCCCATCCCGCCAGGCGGGATTACGCGAAACAGTTCATCTTTCCGATCACATCCCGAAGAGCACCCGCATTATAGTGGCCGAAGCGTTACTGCAGACGCTGGAGAAAGTAACGGACAATAACTCCAGTGAAGCTTGGACTGATCTCCTCGTCTTCAGTTACGCAACCCTTGGGCAACCAAAACAGCGCCAAGCCAAAGACCACGCCTGTCTTACCCCAATATTATCCGTCAAAACATCCAAAACCATGGTCCTCCCGAATTAATACAGGGTCCTTCGACGGACCGCGCTCCTCGTTCAGCTGAACCAGACGCTCCTGTGCAGCTCCGCAAGCGAGTCAGCCGCAAGCTCCAGGACGGCAATGTCAGCGGTGCTGTACGGCAGCTAACCACCGAAGAAACGGTTCTGCCCGCGACGCCAGAGACCTTCGCTGCGTTGAAGGAGCAGCACCCTTCAAACCCTCCGATACGTCACCCGCCTCGGGGACCCGCAACCCCGATAGCCCTTGATATTACTGCTGCAGAAATTTCAGAAGCAGTTCGTGCCTTCCCAAATGGATCGGCAGCAGGCCCTGATGGATTACGACCGCAATATCTGAAGGAGCTGATCAGTCTGAAACACCATGAACTAGGTAGAAAGTTATGTGAATCACTGGCTGCCGTTGCAAACATAATGCTGAAGGGGGCGGTACCCCACGACATTACCCCGATGCTGTATGGTGCAAACTTGTTTGCATTCAAGAAGAAAGATAATAGGATTCGCCCCATTGCAGTGGGAACAAGCCTGCGGCGTGTGTTTTGCCGCATTGTGACTTTCAGGTTACGTCACTTGAATAAAGAGTTGCAGCCAATCCAGCTGGGTTTCGCAACGAAAGAAGGTGTGGAGGCCGCTGTCCATGCCGCACGCAGTTTTATCGAAGATGCTGCAATTCTGGACAAGCCACAGGTTTTCCTTAAACTAGATGTCAAGAACGCCTTTAATTCGCTTGACCGAAACTACATACTTAATGTCATGTATTGAACGAACGGCATAATCTTTTATTATGTCCGCTCGGGACAGCAGCAAACAACCAACTAAACACTAGACATGGCAACAATAACGGACAACAACAATACCGTTGCTACGGCACATTAGCCATAGGCCATTATCCATTTCACGAGATACTCGTACAATCTTTGTACGAGTACTACATACACTACACTTAAATCTGCCGAAGAGTTCATGCCGGAGTACTACAAGTTTGTGTGGCAGTGCTACGGTGAACCATCAGTACTGTTACACGGCAAGTACAGTGTATCTTCACAGGCGGGCATCCAGCAAGGAGACCCTCTAGGCCCGCTACCGTGCTGCCTTGCAACTATTGGACCTCACAAACGCCTGAAGTCGAAGCTGAAAGAGTGTTTTCTTGACGGTGATGCGCTCGGCGGAGACCCTGAAGATGTCTTTAACGATCTCTGCTCACTGCAGGAGGCGCTACAAGTGCGCGGGCTAACGCTTAATATAGCAAAATGCGAGCTGATGGTTATCGGAGGCTCCGAGGAAGAACGCCAAACTGTGTACGACGCGTTTCTTCATGCGTACCCAGACCTGCTTTGTCCCCAGCTAAAGGATCTGCATTACCTCGGTGCGCCAATTCATGATGATGCGGTTGCAGGCGCACTCGTCAGTGCTACGGAGGTAACCGCCCGAATGACGGAGGGGCTAAATCTAATACCGGCCCTCCAGGCTCTGTACCTGTTAAGATGCAGCATGGGCACAGTAAAGCTGAATCTACAAAATGCACGCCAGCCGATGCTACCAACAGAAAGCCCTGTTAAAAGCATTTGACGATATCATTCGCCAAAGCTTGACTAGCATTACCAATGTCAACATTACTGAAGACATATGGATGCAGGCATCTCTCCCAGTAAGAGAAGGCGGTCTCGGAATTCAAAGCGTCGAAAAGCTTGCCTCTCCGGCCTTTCTGACCTCTGCTTATTCGGTGGCTCCATTAACATCCGAAATTATCCAGTTCCAACCACAGATCTACTGTCGTGATGCTGCTGCAGAATGGCAAGAAGTAACCCAAGTAGACCTCCCACACCATGACGCGCGACCGGTCCAGAAGGAATGGGACAATCCTATTGTCCAAAACACAGTTGAACGATTACGAACGGTAGCTGGGAACGACATGTCCGAACAGGCAAGATTGAACGGTGTTAGCACGAAAGAAAACGGCGCATGGTTGGGTGCGCTTCCGGCTGCCTCCCTTGGCAACCTCCTTACAGACTCAGCAGTACGAATCGCCGTTGGTTTACGGCTTGGAGCACCGATCATCACCCCACACCGCTGTGTATGCGGTGAGTGGGCGGATGCCCGCGGTTACCACGGCTTAAACTGCAAGAAAAGCCGCGGACGAATCCCTACGCATAAATGCCTGAACGCCATTGTGAAGCGCACTTAGCGCAGCCTCGCATCGGCTGGTTTTGAAAGCGAACTAGAGCCACAAGGTATCTTCCCTACAGACAGCAAGCGCCCAGACGGCGTTACCTTGACACCATGGGAGAGAGGACGGATGTTGGCATGGGACGCAACGTGCGTCAATACAATGGCCATATCGCACATCGTCGCGACTTCCGCACGAGCGGGAGCAGCAGCAGCACAGGCCGAGCAGGGCAAGATCGAGAAATATCGCGATATCGGCCAGGACTACCTATTCCGTGCTCTGGGCTTTGAGACGCTCGGACCACCCGGACCGGAAGCTGTCCGAACAATAACGGAATTCGGACAGAAAATACGTCAGGAAACCGGCGAAAAACGAGCCACGGAATATCTTCGCCAACGGATCGGTATCGAAATACAGCGAGGAAATGCTGCATCGATCATGGGGACGGCGCCGATGGGAGCGAATTTAGACCAAATTTTCTCTCTGGCCGCCGCTGTCGATTGATGCTTAATGACTGATAGTTTCCAAAGCTTTTGTTAAAAGTACTCGTGTTGTAATTTGTAATAGTAAACCGGCGAGTGCATTTAACCACATAAAGCAGTAACTTGCTCTAATGTTGTCATGTGCTCGTAATAATGCGATCCAAAATGGTTCGCTGTAGGTCCCTTAATACTGGCTGTAGATTCGCCACTGCGATTCCCGATAACGATCGCTGCTGACTACGGAGGAACAGCAGACGGCCATACTGCAGATGCTTTCGTGAAAGCATGGTAATCTCAAGAACGAATAACGGATATGCTGGCCCAGCGGAGGACACGTCATACGAGCATACCGACATAACTAGCACTGTGAGATAATTAGCACGACAATGGTAGCAGACTAGCAGTAATACAAACCCTTTTAATTCGAGGGGTGAACATGCTCGATTTTGCACTACAGGTGCTGGAGTCACTGAATTCCACATCCGAAAGTAAGCGATGGATCCCGTTACAGTGATCGCCCCAATAATGTACAGTCCGAAGTCATGATACCGCAAGGCATTTACTCCCAACAAAATGAGTAGTAAAAACACCATATATGTGCCATAAGTAACCAGGGCGTATCCAGAATGCAATGCGTGATAGGTGCGCGGCCCGATGTCACCTTGAGCCTCCACGCGTATTCTTTCAAGATGAGAGAAAGCATTATCCACGCTGTGTCCAAATTCAGCCAGGCCAAGCTTACTGAGCCCGTTGATATGTATTTTAAAATCTTTCACTATTTTTGCCACTTCAGTCAGCCTTTCAGCAAAATTTACCCCGAAATCACGACCCACTCCTTTCAGGCCAACTACTTTGATTCCGTGACTGGTTAATAGCTCGGTTGCACGCAAAACATTTTCACCGAATAGCTTTCCATGGTCGCGCCCGGCTGCGTCCAAGCCGTGAAGTCGCATGTTTTCAAAAGATTTGGATGCGTTCTTGAGGTGTTGACCAAACTGCGACCCGATTGAGCTTAAATCCATACCGCGTAATGCCACAGCAGCCTGTTGCAAGTCATCTCCAAATTTACTAATGCCATCTTCCATATGCGCGCCATACGTAGCAAATGCATTTCTTGCAATGTTGTCAGGGAAGAAGTGGCTCAGAAACTGTCCCATCATTGTCTCTGAAATGCAATGTCTATTTTTATATGCCAATGGAACACGGTAACCGTCAAAGTCCTTTTTAACAATACAATCTCGCTTAATTTCAATAATTCCAGTCTTTCCATGCTTCCAGTCCATCTGTACGGTACAGATGGACTATACGAGCGTATTGAAACGAATACAGTTTACAGTATAAACGATGTAAAATAAAGTTCCTGTAGTAAGCTAACAGCAACTGTAATTGGGAAAACTGAAATAACATATAAAGGGGGAAATCGATAGCATATTATACACCTTCCCTGTACTGCTCCAGTCATCCGAATGGATGCCACGTTATGGCTGAACAGGGGTTTTTAATGGCAGTGAATGAACTATGGCAGCTGGTGTTTAACGTATGGAGGTTAGTACATGCACGTTAAACAACAACAATAATTCTTTACTTGAGGTCTAAGATTAATGGTGATTTACTGTGGTTTTTCACTCCTGACAGCTGCAACAACGATGTTTCACGATAATAATAACATAAGCATAACGATGATTATAATACTGGAGAAACTCGAATAAAACGAAGTTTCAAAATTGGACTCGGATAAAAAGCATACGGTGGCTGCGAAATGCAGAATCATTTGGCTAAATTTGAGCAAAGTTAACCACTAACGATAAGAATTTACAGTCTGTGTGAGATACATAGCGCGGCGAACTGAATGTGCCTACACGACTGCAAAATTAAGACTAATTGCGCACCATGCCGCTTTGAAGTTTCTGTAATTCTATTCATCTTGCTTTTCAATCAGTCGGCCCCGGTTTTTGTTGCAAACTCTTTATTACCCGGTGGTATTATTAAGAGGCAATACATTGATTTGCTGTGCAGTGTACAGTATTCAGTTTGTGATCTCAACTTTGATATTGGTATCCATAACACAGGACGCGCTCCAAAGTCCGCTACACTGCTAGAAAGCAGACGACGGTGCAAGCTATAAAAATCTGATCGTGTTACTGCCGCTGATGCTCGTGCACTTACCATGCATTAAAACTTATTTTTAGCTACGGTATATATGTATGTAGACCTGGATTTACAGATCAAGGGTTGCTTCCCTTAAAAGGATATGCTTCGGTCCTTTTATCAAAACAGGAAACGCCAAACATATAATTAGGTAATACTAATTACAGCATCATCACATGTTGAATTTATCATTATAATTACATGGTGTACATATGATACACTACCACAACATAAGTAACGTAAGTACATACGATACACAACAACTTGAGGCGAAATACAGTACAAGATTTAAATAAAAGAAATTTTTATTTCAGCAGCGATTAGAAAACGGCCCTAGCACACGGCGTAAGGTGATCAGTGTTTCAAACTGTATTCCGGGGCTAACGGAGAGTTCAGGACTTTTATCATATGTTATCTATCTTTTGCAAAAAAAAAGAACCGCAACCCACGCTTTCTTACAATTTTCAGCCTTTTTGAAAACAGTCGATTTAAAAAAAAATGAGAACATACATACAGCTGCCATTATTGTCTAACCAGAGCACGGTCAGAGGCTCAGCCTCAGAAAAATTGATTGTTTTTTGTTTGAAGAAAGAGTAGGTACTGGTATTACTTAAAAAAGTATTTCCATCGGCAATGGTCCACTGGGCGTGGCCAAAAACTAATTTTTATGTTTGTTTTTCAATGGAAGTATTGCCCTGCATCTCTTTATTCAGGCAATAGCCAAATAACATCAAGCAAGTGCGAATTTTTCCCAATTGTGACGAGTGACAAAGATGAATCATTAATCCGGACATCACTGTTGAGCAGCTGGCCAGACATGATACAGCTGACCACGGACAATTTCAACTTATCAGGAGCGCCTATGACGTCGCCGGCATGCGCGGGATTTTTGGCTAGTAAAACGGAACAACTTAAAAAATTCGTACATCGTTTGGAGAAATTGCCAGCCCATTACAGCCATTTTCTCCTCAAAAACTGCCTGAGCATTCCAGAAGTGCTATACGGTTTGCGTACTTCACGTTGTTATGAACATCCTCAGTTTCTAAAAGAATACGACGACACGCTGCGGTTGGGGTTTGAGCGGTTGGTCAATGTAAAGGTTTCTGAAGTGCAGTGGACTCAGATGTCTTTTCCAGTACGGCGGGGAGGTTTGGGAACGCGCCGCACAGAGACATTAGCTGTCTGTGCCTTTTTGGCATCGGTGTACTCTGTGCAGCCCATCGTTTCTGAATTTTACCAGTCAACTGAAGAGTGTCTAACGAGAGCAGCTATGGAGTCCTGGTTACAGCATACGCAATTCGAGATCCCAGCTGATTTTATTCGGACGTTTCAGTACGCATGGGATGCACCAATGATTGAGCGGGACATTGCCATGCTAATGTTGTGTACAGAAGGAAAAGAACGTGACAGGGCGGTTTTGCTGTCTGCACTTGACAGAGATTTCGGCGCCTGGTTGAATGCGTTGCCCGCTCCATGCCTGGGAACGTTCCTTAGAGACGACGAGGTCAGCATTTGTGTCGCATTGCGGTTTGGATTGCCCGTTATAGTGGCACACAACTGCGTTGCGTGCGGCACTCAAGTAGAAACTAACGGACATCACGGGTTATCCTGCAATAAGTCAACCAAGGGACGATGGGCGCGGCATAAAGAAATGAACATTATTGCTAAGAATTGTTGCGAAAGCGCCGGTTTTCCTTGTCAGCTAGAACCGACCGGCTTATCAAGTGTGAACGGAAAAAGGCCCGACGGCATGACGCTAATCCCTGTCCGCCAAGGGAAACTGCTGGTGTGGGATGTAACCAGTTGGTGTACGGTCGCAGACTCGCATGTCACCGGCAGCTCGAAGAAAGCTGGATACGTGGCTCAGCTCGCAGAAAATGCTAAGCGCCGGACATATTGGTTTGTGGAAAATGGAAACTTTTTTTACCCTTTAGTGATTGAAACGTTGGGAGTATTTGGCCCCGCTTTCAGTGAACTGTTGTATTTCATGGGTCGTAAAATTCGAGACTTAACTGGAGAAGCGCGTTCTACTGCTTTCATTAAGCAGCGTTTTAGTCTCGCCGTTGTAAAAGGAAATGCTACGGCTGTTTTGAGCACGTTACCTTTTAACCCAAGAGAAGATAGAGATTTTGGTTGTTTTTAATGTTTAAATTTTAACTTTCACGTAGTGTACCGGCGCTTGCAATCATTGGTGGAGGTCAATTACATTTGGGTAAGCGTTGCGCGACGGGTGACGGAGCGACGCGTAAAAAACGATGAATGAGTCAGCAAAAAATGAAATAACAAATAAGAAGACGAGTAAGTTTACATGCCAGGGTAGGAATTGACCATCAAAGTGTAAAAAAGTTACGTTTCAAGCAAACGCGTTTGTGGTACAGGCTACAAAATGAATCTTTTTTCCATACGAAAAACATTAATCTATTTTGAATTAATTGATTACGAGTTTGCAACAAAATATCATCTTTTGTTAACTTTCTGATATGGCACCGACAAGAAAACGGAGATTTCTTAACCTGTGTAACAAAAGAATTATCAGTCTGAAGGCTGAAGATTTAATCACTGATGCGGCGGAAGATCGTTTTCTGGAAATCGAAAGTAGTGACAGCGAATCTGATTCGGATGTGTTTGAGTCAGAAGACGATGATGCAGTTTTTCTGTTGAAATTTAAAATATGCCTGGAAAGCCGTCGTTACCTAAGCCGACAACGAATTCCTAAAAGCAGATTTTTCCTTGAGCACACTATGCCTGCTTTGGACGAAGACAGCCTGCGCCAGGAATCGCGGATGTCCAGAGATGCGTTTTTAAGAATTGCGTCGTTAATCGAAAACCATCCCTTGTTCACCTCAGCGACTGAGAAACCACAGGCCAGTCCACAAGAACAGCTAATTGTTGCCCTTCATCGCTTTGGCACTTTTGGAAATGCTGGATCAAAAGGTATGGTGTCACGAAAATTCGGAATTAGCTCTGGGACAGCTCTACTGTATACACGGCGCGTGATCTGTGCTTTATTGTCACTGGAGAAAGACGTAGTGAAGTGGCCGACAATAGCAGCAAAGCGAGAAATCAAGCATGCCATAAACGAGCAATACGATTTCCCCCACTGCATCGGTTTTGGAGATGGGTTTCACGTTATTTTGGAAAATAAGCCAGCTTTTCATGGTGACGATTATTTTACGAGAAAGCGGCGGTACGCACTAAACACATTTGCGGTATGTGATGCCTCTCGTCGATTTATTTTTGCCAATTGCGGATTTCCGGGATCGGTGCACGATGACAGAGTTTTCAGAGAATCAGACATGGGAAAGCATCCTGAACGTTTTTTCGTTGGAGACGAATACATTTTAGTTGACAGCGCTTATGGATGCAAGCCTTATATAATTCCAGTATATAAAAAAACAGCTGGTGTAGGTGCGGTCCTGTGGAGTCAGCTGGAATTGTACAACTACCTACATGCGTGTGGGAATAAGAACTTTAATGACGAAAAAGCTGGACCACACTAGAGCGGTATTATGGACTCGCGCATGTATTATTCTTCACAATTTATTGCTGGAAGACTACTATGACCCGCTGTGGAACGAAAATGATGACGACAGAGATGATGAAGAAGACGCAAGTGCGGTCGGAATTAACATCGATATGGACGACACACAAGCTGGAAAAGAGAAGCGGGATTTTATCAGAAATTATGTATTATTAGCTCGGTCATTACATAATTAAGAAAGAAACGTAGATATTTAATCGTCTGGAAATATAATTAAATTGTGGTGCCGGAGACCACATTCTTATGAAGTCAGAATAATATCATAATACTAGTGCGCGCATTAGGCTAAACAAAGCGCGACAGCTGGTAAAGCTAAAGAGAGTTTCAAATTTTAACGAGTTCGGTTGCTTAACGTCACGAGGTTGGCTGTAAGCAGTTGCCACCCTTACTGATACGGTACGCGAAACCACCTCGCGAGGTGAAATTGTTATAACGTAACCGCATTCGCATCGCTTCTGAAACCTACTCCTACAGTTCAAGAGTATCTTAAATTTTCTACTAGTTATTCTGGCTCGCTTTCGCACGTATCATCTGAAGTTCCAGTTCCATACGTCGGTTTTCCGCTTCCAACCTGCGTACGGCCAGCTCTTCTTTTTGATATTCAGCTTGCCTTTCCTGTTGTTCTTTTCGCATTTGCAGTTCGGCTTGTTGAATTTCTAGTTGCCGAAGTTGCTGCTCCTTTTGCATGTTCATCTGTTCCTCTTGCAGTGCGAGCTGACGATATTCAATCTCGCTTCGTAATTTGTTTTTCTCTTCGTGGAGCTGTTGAGCTTTTTCGAAACGCGCTGTTTTTTTTTCATCCAGTTCAGCTAAGACTTCAATCGGATCTCTCTGCTTTTGTCTGGCCTTCTTGCTCAATTTCAAATCCACTTTTTGGCGCTTAACAGCACTTTTCCCCACGCTAGTTACGTCAGCACTGTCGTCCGAAAGTACTTCCCCATCTAGCTTGCGGTCTTTCCAGGTGCGAGAAACTCCACCGCGTTGATCGTTGATTAGTTGTATTTCATCTTCCGTGAGACCGTACCCATTTACTTGCAGCGGCTGTTCGACTTGATCTACCGGCGGCTGTTCTTCGCCCTCCTCGCTTTCATTATCCACAGTTTCGCAGTGTGCCGGGAACATCAACTCCAAAGCATTTTCCACGGTTTCGGTGGTGTTGCCCACGTACGGCGGTACATTGCCTGGCCTTTCAGAAAATACGGGGTCGAGTTCATCCCAGAATTTGCACGTGTGCAATACTCGTTCTGCAAGATAACTGCAGGGTTATTACAGAGAATGCAATAATACAAATAATCTGTAAAAATTAAATATAGATAATCTGTAAATACTACATTTAAATAAAAAATTAAAATACTGAATTTTCCTTCCGTAAAAAAAATATGAATATATTGTAGCACCGATTTTTATTATTATCGAGATTTATTTTTTCAATGACAAAATAAATTTTTTGAATTTTTCTAGGCAGTTTAAACTTCGTATTAACTGAACATATTCATACCTTTGATTTTAACGATCTTCAGCTTGCCGTCACGATCCAGCTTTTCGTCGTAATCATCGCCTTCACCCGTCTGATCAAGGATAAGATTGGCTTTTCTCCATCCATTTTCTAGCGCAGTAATCTTATCTTTCACCACCTGCCAAGTGCGATCATTTACTCCGTTCGACTGAAAAAAATCGACGATTCCCTTGCATATATCCACTTTAGATTTCCCTTTCATCTGGCCATCTTTGTTTTCGTTTGCGCACTTGTATGTTAAATAGTTTCCGGGGGTAGCAAGCCACTCCACTAAGAGCTTCTCCGGCAAGCCGCTCCAACTACGGCGTTCGCGTTTCTGGAGCGTGGGTTTAGTTTTAGAGGCATCTGCAAGAGCTTGAGCTGGCAGCGGATCTCCATTGGCAACCTTCGGTTTTATGGGTCGTCGCTTTTTCTTCGCGGGAGACGTCCTCTTAGGAGATTTCATAATGGCACAGTACGTGATCAAGAAATAATTACAATGCACAGCGCTTGTGTTCAGCAATGCGATCTCGATATGCTGATGGCATAAATAGATAGAAGGGGCGTAAACAACACAACAACTTTATGGAGAAATAATTCTGCAAGTGTACGTTAAGCAACAACTAGAATATAATTCTTCCAAAATTCAAAAATTTGTTGATCGGTGTGAGTCGAGTGTGTAAATAGTTTGGGTAATGGTTGCGCGTCGACGTCGAAGCGCAACGCTTACGCGGACAAGTAAGCTGAAAACCCATCCCAGATTTTGTGACTGCGAATCAGAATGTTTGCTTGGTTACACGCTGTTACGTCACATTTTTTACGCGTTTTCCCGTTACCCGACGCGCAACGCTTACCCAAATGTAATTGACCTCCACCATTGTTATCTTGGCGGCTATTGCCCAATAAAATTGTGTGAAATAACATCAAGCCATAGCGCGGCATGTTACATCAAGCCTGCGCATATAGACACTTATAAATTTTCTGAAAATGTTATATTGTAAGCAGCCGTTAGAAATTAAAAATCAGTCAAGGGGCAAATCTGCAGTGATATCAGAAAATACGGCAGCCGCGCCTCGGAGCATAATTTTCAATAGTATACAGTAACCAGAAGTATGGGAATATCCGAATACGAGAGGGTGACGGACTTACGGTAGCGCATTTCAGTAATCTCCTGTATCGCTGCCGTCACCCGGCTGGAGTGTGACGTTACGGCAGTACATATGGCTAAATCTGGCGCGGTACGTAAGCACCATGTCTAGCCACAACGTCAAACTCCAGGCGGCTTACGACAGCAAGTACAAGGAGTGCTGAAATACGCTACCGTCATCTTCTCATATGTACACTGCATTACACTGACAATACATACGGTATGTAATAAATGATTAAATTTCTTTCGGGTACGCCCACTGGACCATTGCCGGTGAAATTACTTTTTATATTATTACCAATACCAAATCTGTATTAGAACAAAAAAGTAAATTTTTCTGAAGGAGAAGCCAGGCCCTGGTAAGTTTTGCGATATGAAAAAGTTGCTCACGCAGTTACGGACATTTAACACTTCATCACCTGTTTAAAATGACGCTGCCATTGGATTTAAACCGAAGAACTGTTATGAGAGCTTGCAAGTGCACGATTATACATAGGTTGCATAATCAGCCTTTAGGAATTCCACTGGGTTGAATGGCTGGGAAGTTTCTGTATTAAATACTGTTGTACCGTTTAGTGTACAATATATCTAGACTACATACAATAAGTCACAATACCGACTGTGCATCATCTACATTACTATTATCGA